AGCATGAACTTGCCCCCTTAAAGCATGATTGACATTTTTTGACTGGCAGGGATTAAAATAAATAAATCAATCCAGCTCTTAGTTCATTTAATTTATTCTTTTATTATTTATTATTATTTTATATTTTTATAGTCCTGTGTGGAAACCATGCATGTACAAGAATAATGTACTATTAGTATGTTCATTTTCATTTTCATTTCTCTTCCTAAGGTTGAAAGAGAGAGGAAGAGGTTGCTCCTGGAGTTGTTTCCTTGGCTCAATGATCAGTGCCAGTTTCATCGTGTTAGTATCAATCTCCAGCGGCTGTGTGTCCACAGACTGAGGGTATACTTCAGCAACGAGGAGGGGGAGGGGTCTGGTGTCCTCTGCAGTTTCTTCACTCCAGTGTACGAGGTTAGTCTCTGCTCATTTTCAATTATCGGTCTTGACCACACCCACTTTAGGCCATTATTTCTGAAAGTCCATTGCCGGAATTGGATCATCGTTTGTCTCATTCAGTTCAGCCAATTTCATGGAAGAGAAGGTACATGTACATGTAACATGTACATGTACACTGTATGTGTACATGTATTTATGTTTAGATCATATTTTTTACTGTAAATGTTCAAATAGAAGCCTGGCTTGAATAAACACCTGGTATTTGGCATATCTTATTATTATTGTTATTGCTTTTCTTATCTCAGTTTAATATATATATATATATGTGCATGTACATGTATCTACAATTTCCCAAATATTCCAATATTCCCAGGATTTGGCATTTTAAATTTTATTGTAGGCATTTTTTGTCCTGCAAAAAAATAAACGCCCATGCTTTTATTTGAACATTTACAGTAGGTTTTTGGTTTTTATGTTAGTTTATTTTTCCTTTTTTACAGTTTCTGAAATACTGGATGATATTTCATGGAGGAAGTGGGTGGAAGAGGAGCTGAAGTATCATCCTCGTGTGAATTGTGTCCGTTATTCCATGAGTCTGGTAAACCTGGTTTCTATTCCATCAAACACTCCATCAAGACTTAATGCTTACAGGAATATAGGGAGGCAAGTGAATGTACATGTACCTGTTTCGCCTTCTTTGCTTTCTCTCTCTCTTGTACTGTACATGTTCACTTCTCTCCTTTCTAGCACTTTATTAACATCATCCCTCTCTCTTTCTCTTTCCCTCCCTCTCCCTCTCTCTCAGGGTTATTGGTTTGGCATTGTTACATTCAGAGATGATGTCTCTTCCTTTCTGTAGACACATTTACAAGTATCTACTTAACAAGAAGGTATAGTCGGTTTTAGTTGAGAAGAAACGGAAATAAATCAATATTTTCGACATTAAAACGTCACGTGTAGCCCCGCCCAAACATGGCTGCAATCTGCAAGCTCAAAGCGTCTAGAGACAGGAATGGATCCAATTAGTTACATGTATGTGGGTCAGTGGTTTTATATCTGTAATACGCATGCGCATTACTCCCACATGGACAAAAATCACAATATGGCTGCCACCAACTGAGTGTTTTTCATATTTCTAGTGCTGTCTTTGTGGTTCCAGGCCTTTTGCTAGTTGTTTGCATGAGTTGGATCACTGATTAGACTAATAGAACCTTGCACTAGGTAATTTATTCTCAGACTGCTATAAATTATGCCTTTTTATATACTGTAACTATTGTAATCACCTATATATAGAATGTATCTTCTAATTATTCTTGTGTGAGGAAATGGGCTTTTTAGTCTTTCCTGGGTTATCATTTGTTCCCTCCACCACAATTACTCATTTCAGAACTGTAAGTAATATGTCTGTCAATTTAAGCTTCATTATGGGGAATATGAGGGATTTAATAGGAGGTTCATCACTCTGAGAATGCCCCAGGGTAGGGATTTTTCTCCAACAAGCCTATAGGAAGACTTCACTAGTTTGACCAAGTTACGTTTCAAAAATGCTAAGTTTACCCAGCAGAGCTGAGTTCAGTAGCAGTTGAGTGGTTGTTTAACGTTCATTAAATTTAGTAGGGGATTTGACTGAAGGGAACGGCCCCAGAGGTAGTGATTTAATTAATTAATTAATTTGAAACCCCAACTATGCCCCATTATGACCTGTACTGGGATAGTGGAGCTTGATATTGATAAGTACACGATAAATTTATTGTAAATGTCTGCTATTTTATTTATTTATTATTTATAGGCATTTTACACCTTGCCAGCGAATTGGATCACAAGAGGTTGCTCATGAGTTTTTGCTTACATGTGTAGTAGGAGACTAGGAGCTCAAGTAGGTACAAGGTTGAGCTGTAAGTTGTGTATAATTAGAGACCACTAGCAGTAAAAATTGATTACATAGGTAGATTATTAGAAATTTTTACGGTTGTAAGGTGTGGTTTAGGATGAAATAAATTCAGCTGCCATTTTGGTTGACAACTTTTAATGGAGAACAAACGGGCTGGCATGAAAACAAACCTGTATTGAGAATTCTGGGGCAAATTGGACCACATCTTTTGGAGAAGAAGCTTAAAGGCAGATCTTTTTTCTTATAACAAGCACATTTTAGATTTAATAGAGCTACAGCAGGTAAGTGAGGCATTTTCTTCTTGCATTCATTGCCGACTTCCTTAACAAACTTTCCAACGAAAATGGCAGCCAATTATGACATGTGGGCTGATACCGTATATAAAATTAATGAAATTCATTTCCGATTCTCACTTCCAGTGGTCTATAATTAGTTTTTAAGTCAGTATAGTTTTTAAATTCGTAAATTTTTTATTCATGCATTAAATAATGCAAGCAATGACATATTCCACTTTTGCAGTACTTCTGACTATTAAAGCTGTTAGTTTTGTAGTTTTGAATTTACATGTATGCTATTTTTATGATAATTAGAATGTCACGAAAAGCTATCAGTATTGTTCATGGTGGTGGACGAAACTCTGGATGCTATATTTGGAGATGTTGGTATTTAATAGAATAATTATTCAGGAAATGATTTATTTTATTATGCTGCTAATGTTTAGAATTGTACCTAGAAATTTCTTTAATTGTAGCTAGAAATTACTGTCGCCCAAAATTTCTGTGAATTTTGCAGATTTTATTTTAGCAAAATCACCTTGCCTTTCAATGTGTACTGATTTTAAAGGATTAAATTTTCACAGTTTTTGAAATCTGCATAATTAGCAGAAATTTTGGGCCACAGAAGTATCTAGCTCCATGTGTATAGCATTTGCAATGAAAGGTTTATTTTTAACTTTTTATCTCTCTTAAACAGATAACATTTCCCCAAGACTAGATATATTATCAACTCTTTATTTCCCTTGGCACTACTTAATGTGACACCAGTATATTTCGAGGTCAGTAAAAACTATTATTGCTGTATAAAATTTGTTTTCGTTATCTGTAGAATGACATTCCTGTCAAATTATTTTTAGAGATGAAAATAGGCTACAAAGTTCTTTGTAAACATTAATGCAAAGTACATGTACTTTTTACATTTATTATTAATATTGCTTATTCCTTGTAGACTCAACAGAGTAACCTGAAATCAAATGTGTGGCTAAACAAGCATTTATTCATGTTTTAACTGTTTTTTTTTTTACATTTTTGTTTGAGTTATGAACATTATAAATTAAAGTACAATTTAGTCAGTACTGCGCATGCGCAGATTGCGCCCACGCAAATAATTGGATTCATTTCTGTCTTTAACGGCATGTAACTTTGCATGAGCAGCCATTTTGAAATGTGAGAACACGTGGGTGGTTGGCTGCAATTAGTTCATGGTGCATGTATAGATCTATAGCTACTTTATAAAAGCAGTTACAACAATGCATGTCATGTATAAAAACTAGGAGGCTATAAAGTTTGGCCCTTTTATACCACTACTAGGAGACTGGAGTGACTTTCTCTTCCTTTCCTATTGATTGCAGTCAGTAAAGTCTTCAAGATTATTTCATTTTAATGACAAAAATTTTAACTTTTACTGAACTCAACTAATATAGATACATCATATATGTACATCTTGACATAAATTTGGAACCTTAAAAATTAAAATTTTAATAGAATTTCTACACAACATAATATTTTTTGTACATTCATTATAAAAAGATGTGCATGTGTTGGTGGCTCATTTAGCCATGCTGCACAGTAGTAGTTGTAGAGCTGGCAATGACAGTTCAAATCGCCATAAATACATGCAATCAAAATTTAAAAGAATTATTTTTCAAAAAATTAAAACTAGTATATAAATCTCTAGCTTCAGTCTTGAGTATCAATCCACTTGACATTTCATCTTTATTTCAGCTTGAACCTATCAAAGATAATACTGAAGTCCTTACACAAACTTACTGTTAGTATTGTTATTTTTCTTCTTGTATGTAGTGCTCTTAGCATCACTAGCAGTAGTAACCACTAGTGATCCCAGGCAGCGCCACGTGGAGGCTGCACTACACTGCTGCCCAAAAATTAAAAAAACCTGGCCCAACACTCTTGCTGAGGCCTAGGTTGTAAAAATAATAATAATAAAATAATAATAAATCATAAAAAATAAAAAATTATAAACGATAATAATAATTTAATAATAATAATTTAATAATAATAAATCATAAAACCTAGATCTATAACCTATATGTACACTATATAACCTACATCCTATAACTACCTGTTTCCTAATTTCTATACT